AGATCAATATCAATTTTCTTGATTGATATTTGCTCACTTTTCCATTTTCCCCTTTTAGGATTCCAGTAAGGGGCCCTGCGATAGATGCAAAACCTTTAATAAAGCATCTATAGTAACTCGCTAACCCCAGAAAAGATCTGAGGTCGAAGATGGTTTTTGGTTGTGGGAATTCTTTGATAGCCCTGACCTTTTCGGGTGAGGTTCTGACACTATGAATCCCAAGTATTCAACGCTTTTTTTAAAAAACTTTGACTTTTCTTGGGTTACCCTCATGCCTGCTTCTAGAAGTTCCTCGAGAACCCAGTGAATGTCTCTCACGTGGTCCTCTTTTGTTTTTGAAAAAATAATGACGTCATCGACATAAACGTAGCACGTCTTTGAAATTTGTTCCCTTAGGACGTCGTCGATGGCCCTCTGAAAAATGCTTGGAGCGTTTTTCAGGCCGAACGGCAGTCTACAAAACTCGTATTTACCGTTATTTATGGAGAAGGCCGTTTTCTCTCTGTCCTTCTCCGCTAATTCTATCTGGTGGAAGCCTGATTTCAGATCAAGAGTTGTGAAAAATTTTGACTTGCCCATATTTGACAGTATGGTTGATATTGTCGGAATGGGGTATCTGTCATCCACCGTTTTCTGATTTAATTTTCTAAAATCGATAACTAATCGTTTCTTTTTTAAACCATTTTGGTCGGTTCCTTTTTTGTCTACGACCCAGTTTGGATTATTATAGGGTGATCTAGATGGCCTTATGATGCCGTCCTCTAGAAGTTGTTTAACCTCTGAGTTTACGAATTCTGTCACACCCATGGGATGTGGGTACGTTTTTGAGTACACCGGCTCCCCATCTGTTTTTATTGTTGCAATAGTATTTATGTTGTAGGGTAAAGCCTCGTCTGGATCAGCGAAAGCTTTACAGTTTTTTTTAATCATATTATCAAAAGCGTTTTTTATTGCTTGATTTTGTTTGAAATATTGAAATCAAACATTTTTTTGTAATTTGTGTGTGGCCATGAATTGACCTTACATTGAACGGGTTGTCCACTTCCACGATGCCTTTAAGCGTCGGGAGTTGCGCAATATAATTTTTTGATGTTCCTGTATCGATTAATAGTTTTATTTTTTGCCCTGCTAACCTACGAGTAATATAAGGGAGCAGGGATTTTATTCTAAAAAATTGCAGATATCATCTGCGTCTAAATCATCTTCAGTCTTTGTTCAGACGGTTTTCCTTCTGGCATGAAGTTTATTTTTTGTTGGCTTCGTGCCGACTGGTCCTTTCGCCAGTTTGTATTCTGTCTAAATTTAGAGGAAGTATCTACCTCCATGGGCTCTGGTTTTGGCCGGGCCTGAGTGTTTTCTACGTAAGGATGAGTGTTTTGTTTGGACGAGGGCGTTTGATTATTTCCCCAGTTTTTACCTCTGGTAAAGTAAGGGTTTTTTTTAATTGCCCCTGTGTTTTGGTTCGGCTCATAGATAGGTGAGCTTGACTGTTGTGGTGGGTTTTTCCACGAGGTTGGTCGGTAATTACTGGCCTTATTTATTTTTTCTTCGCTATGCCGAGCGAATCTGGCCGCGAATATGCTCCTATCATTGCTTGATTCTGCCTCTTGTGCAAGAGCTAGTGCCGTTGGCAGGTCCCGTGGTTGCGCCGGGAAAACGACAATTTTTAATGACTTCTTTAAGCCAGAAACGAACGCATGAAGTGCGTCTTCTCTAAATTTGTTATTAAGTACGGCTACAGCGGCAGCGTCGTGCGTCATTACTATCTTATTTGTCAGAAGTGTTAACCTTTTTTCGACTTCATCATAATATTTAAGTAGCGGTAAATCTCCTTGCCTTGAAAGGCTTAACTCCTGTTGAATTACATGAGCTGGAGTTTTGTCCGCATATGTAAAATCGAGGCGGGCTAATATAGCGTGAAAGTTAAGTACTGTATTAAATGAAGCTAACACGGCCACTGCCGGGCCTCTAACTTTATTTCTAAGGATGGCCACGGCTTGATAATGCCGACTGCTGCCCAAGTAAGGCTCAAAGACCTTATAAGCTGCGATGGCGGCCTGTCTCCAGGATACGTAATTTTCCTGTTTCCCATCAAATTCGGGGACTGATTTTATAATGTCTAGGGGCTCGTTGCACTCGGCTCCTGGTATAATATTTCTTTTAAAGATTTCTATTTTTGGGGTCTCTTTTTTTTAAAATGTTTAGTTCCCCCATGATTACACTTAATTTTTCGTCAAACTGCTTTTGCTGTCCTTCTAGGGCCTCACTTATGGCCGCTCCCATGCTTGTGATTTGTTCGGGCTGCATGGTTTGTGGTTCTTGTGAGGGGGTATTTAATGGAATAAAATTATCCAAAGTTCTTTTCCTTAAGGATATATTGGCCCTACTGGATGAGGGCTCACAGTCCTCACTTTCGCTATTTTCTGCTTGTATTCCCCCACTTTTTTGTGCTAAAAGTTGCTTATATTCCTCTATGAGTTCATCGCCCGATGAGTCTGTGTCGTTGTTTCTGAACATTAGCTTTTTTATGAGCGAGCGAGAATTTTTTTCATAAAGATGGAATATATTTATTCTATTCCATTTATTTATTTTAAACTTTCATTTATAATTTTTATTAATATGCTTAAGTTGAATTCTTAAATGCTCTTACAAAAGATTTTTGGGGAAAAAATTACTTGTAATTTTTAATTTTTAATTATTATATAGAAAAAGAATACAGTGTAGGCAGGCACGAAGTGCGAACTGAATTTTTCTTTGTATAAAAATATATTTGTTGCAATATGCAGAATTGTGCTACAGCCACTTTATTGAAATTTAATTTATTTTTCGTTGCGAACAAGAACAAGAACAACAAGAAAGAAAGCAAACTTCGAAGTTCATAAACCCTTGCAGCTATTGCAAGAATTTAACATTTTTGAAAACATTAAAATTATGATTTACTTCGTATATGTTTAAAAACATTGAAGCTATGATGATTAGCAGCTCAATTATTTGATAGTTATTTTATATATTTTCTATTATTTCTATGGGAGCTATATGATATAGACGTCCGATTTTGATAAAATCTAAACCATAATTCTGAAATATGTAACCATTGCTTTATGTCGAAGAACTGAACAAAAAATTAAAAAACAGAAAAGTTATAATATTTTTCATTTATTTTTCCGATTGTTCCTATGGGAGCTTTATGCTATAGTGGTCCGATTTTGATATAATTTAAACCGGAAATCGAAAATATTTAACCATTACTAAGTGTCGAAGGACTAAACAAAAAATTAAAAAACAGCAAAGTTATAATTTATTTCTTTTGTTTTCCGATTGTTCCTATGGGAGCTATATGCTATAGTCGTCCGATTTTGATATAATTTAAACCGTAAATCGGAAATATTTAACCGTTACTAAATGTCGAAGGACTAAACAAACAATTAAAAAGCAGAAAAGTTATAATTTTTTTCATTTATTTTTCCGATTGTTCCTATGGGAGCTATATGCTATAGTCGTCCGATCCGGCTCGTTCCGACTTATATACTACCTGCAATAGAAAGACAACTTTTGGGAAAGTTTCATGCAGATAGCTTTAAAACTGAGAGACTAGTTTGCATATAAACGGACGGACAGACGGACAGACTGACAGACGGACGGACAGACGGACATGGCTAGATCGACTCTACTAGTGATGCTGATCAAGAATATATATACTTTATAGGGTCGGAGATGTCTTCTTCACTGCGTTGCAAACTTCTGACTGAAATTATAATACTCTCTGCAAGGGTATAAAAACAAGAAAGCAAACAAACTTCGGCAAGCCGAAGTTCATATACCCTTGCAGCAATTTCAACTTAATACTCTTGAAAACGTTAAAATTGTGATTTACTTGCGAGTATGTTTAAAAACATTGAAGCTATAATGATTTGCAGCTTAATTATTCGATAGTTCCTATGGCAGCTATACGATTGTTCCTATGGGAGCTATATGCTATAGTCGTCCGATTTTGATGAAATTTAAACCGTAATTCTGAAATATTTAACCATTACTATATCTCGAAGAACTAAAAAAAAAAATTAAAAAACACCAAAGAATACAGTGTAGGCAGGCACGAAGTGCGAACTGAATTTTTCTTTGTATAAAAATATATTTGTTGCAATATGCAGAATTGTGCTACAGCCACTTTATTGAAATTTAATTTATTTTTCGTTGCGAACAAGAACAAGAACAACAAGAAAGAAAGCAAACTTCGGCAAGCCGAAGTTCATATACCCTTGCAGCTATTGCAAGAATTTAACATTTTTGAAAACATTAAAATTATGATTTACTTCGTATATGTTTAAAAACATTGAAGCTATGATAATTAGCAGCTCAATTATTTGATAGTTATTTTATATATTTTCTATTATTTCTATGGGAGCTATATGATATAGACGTCCGATTTTGATAAAATCTAAACCATAATTCTGAAATATGTAACCATTGCTTTTTGTCGAAGAACTGAACAAAAAATAAAAAAACAGAAAAGTTATAATTTTTTTCATTTATTTTTCCGATTGTTCCTATGGGAGCTTTATGCTATAGTGGTCCGATTTTGATATAATTTAAACCGTAAATCGAAAATATTTAACCATTACTAAGTGTCGAAGGACTAAACAAAAAATTAAAAAACAGAAAAGTTATAATTTTTTTCATTTATTTTTCCGATTGTTCCTATGGGAGCTATATGCTATAGTCGTCCGATCCGGCTCGTTCCGACTTATATACTACCTGCAATAGAAAGACAACTTTTGGGAAAGTTTCATGCAGATAGCTTTAAAACTGAGAGACTAGTTTGCATATAAACGGACGGACAGACGGACGGACAGACGGACATGGCTAGATCGACTCTACTAGTGATGATGATCAAGAATATATATACTTTATAGGGTCGGAAACGTCTCCTTCACTGCGTTGCAAACTTCTGACTGAAATTATAATACCCTCTGCAAGGGTATAACAAGAAGCCCACTTACATGTTTATTTTATTGGCTGCTTCTTCGGTGACGTTTCTGTTCTTCGTGCGGGCCGCGGGGCCGGTCGGTGGCAACGGCTTCCGTTGACGGTTGTCGTACCCTCGAGCGGGGCGAGGGGTTTGGTTGATGAAGGCGGCTACTGCTGGCGGTTGTCGTACCCTCGAGCGGGGCGAGGGGTTTGGCTGGCGGCAGTGGCTTCGTTGACTTCTGTCGTACCCTCGAGCGGGGCGAGGGGTTTGGTTGGCAGCGGCGCCTAGTCGGTTGTTTTTAAACAAAAAAAAAAATTTTTCCAGTAGCAGCAGTATGACTTGTAACTACTTTTTACTTCTCACGGTTGCTCCGTTTTCTAAGTGTGTGTTTTTTATTTCATTCGTTTTGTTCACTTTATGAACTATGATGATTTTTTTTTTTTTTAAAACCTTTTTATTTTTTTACACTTGCAATTTAGTGTTATTTATTTTTAACTCCGGCTTTTCGTGGTTGTTTAACTTTTTTGGGTGTGAATTGTGTTGTTCACTTTATTATTTTTTGAACTAATATTTTTTACTCTTGCAGTGTGATTTGTAAGTTTAAATTCTGGCGTTTGCCAGTTGTTTTATTCACTTTTTGGGTGTGATTTTTGTTGTTCACTTTATTACTTTTTTGTTTGTTGGGTTCTTTAGTTTAGTTGGGTGCCAATTAATGAATTGTGTTCTTTATATTTTTATATTTCCTTTATTTCCATACACCCGTTAGGGCATAGGTTAATTTTTCGGATTTATAACGAAGCTTAAGCCCCGGAGTACAATTTTAGAATGACTGATAAATTACCGCGGCTGCAACTCCAGGCCTCCCTTGGGCTCCTTTGCCGTGATACTTGCTGCTGTTGTTGGCGGTTGCCTCGCCTGATTGAGCATTTTTGTACGAATTTTATATTAAACACCACCAGCCAAACAATCACTTTGGATGCCAAACTAGGAATGGCGGCTAATGACGCTGCAATAAAGGCGGCAACCTATCTCCCCACCTAATTGGAGAAATTCTCTCACTCAGACTTGACTAACCTGGTTGTTCTGTTTGTAATTTAGCCATCCCCTGGCTTCTTCTTAATTTTTTAAAAGGAAATGATAATTTGAAATATTTGTTTAAACTTGTTTGTCAGCGGGACTGACTTTATAAAATTTCGTCAGTAGAGATTCGGAAGGTTGTCGCAAGCAAGAGGTTCGGCGAAGTTGGCCTGGAGGTGCAACAGAACCCTGCGCAGCGACCTAAAGTGGTGGTCAGCAATGTGGATACGGCTACGACGCCGGCGGAATTCATGAAGGAGCTCTTCAAGAACAATTTCGCCGAAGTGATGGACTTGGCTGCCTTTGAGAAAGCGGTGCACCTGGAGAAGCCGTGGACTGCAGCTGATGGCGCCACAGTAAATATGACGCTTGAAGTGAATTCCACTGCTTTGGCGATACTGGACGGAAGCAGGGCGTATATCGGCTGGTTTGCTTATAACTGCCGAGCGCTGGTGCGCACATATGCGTGCCACAGATGCGTTGGCTTTGACCACAAAGTCGCGCAGTGCCGGTATAAGGAGAACGTGTGCCGCCAGTGCGGACAGGCCGGCCACAGTGCGCGAGGCTGCACAAATCCGACGGACTGCCGGAATTGCCGATTCAAGGGCTACCCGTCGGAGCATCATATGCTGTCGCCGGGTTGTCCTGTGTATGCGGCGGTGCTGGCAAGGGTGAATGCCAGACATTAATGTTTAGCTTCATCCAAGCAAACTGTGGTCGTGGCGAAGTTGCGATGTCCGACGCTTTAGACAGAATGTGATAGTCAAAATGCCTGTTCGCACTGCTACAGGAGCCGTACCTCGGAGCCGAGTTTTTGGAAAGGCTGCCCGCAGGGCAAAGGCTCTTTTCTGATCCGAGTGGAAACGCACCCATTGCTGTGGACCATCACGATGTCATCTGCGTGCCAGTGGAGCCCCTCACCACTGATTTTGGACTATGCGTGAAGCTGCAAGGGAGTTTTGGCTCAATCTTCCTTTGCTCCGTCGTACCTCAGATACATGGATGCCTTCCTGCTGCAAGTCAGCAGAACTCCCGCAATCCTTGGACTGGATGCGAATTCAGCATTCCCCATGTGGTTAAGCAAACTCTCGCTTTGCTGAGAGACACGCAAACTACTCCCGGGGTGAGCTGCTGTCTGAGTGGATACTGGAGAAGGGAGCCATTGCCCTTAACTAGCCTAGCGAGGTTTACACGTTCAATAACATGAGAGGATTCCACAGCGATATTGATATCAAGTTATCAGTACACAAAACTAAATTTTAACTTTTCGAAAATTTTCTTTTGCAGGAATTTGCCGTTAAATATTAAAACACAAGAGGCAAATTTAATTCTTTTACAAATAATTAACGGCGATTTCCTGCAAAAGAAAATTTTCGAAAAGTTTAAGTTAATGGGGGTGTACTGCTTAGCTTGATATCAAGTTAAAATAATTTACGGATAATTAACGGCAATTCCGTGTAAATAAAATAAAATGTTGAAAAAGTTAAAGTTTAGTTTTGTGTATATATCAAGTTAGAACATTGGATAACTTTTAAAACAATTGAGCGGAAAATTTTTTTTCCCTTACAAATTAACGGCAAATTATGGTTAAAAAAAATTTTTGATTTTGAAAGTTGTACTGCTACTTTCATGGACATGGTGGAAAAGTAGTCATCCGCAGCAGAACGCGAAGGTCTGGAGCGGAAGGGCCGGCAGAACGACGACGCTGCCGCTGAGAAATATGGGGATGGGGTCGCCTCGATGACAGGCGGTCGACCGATATTTGCAATCGATGGGTACTAGAAAATACTGGATTTCTTAATGAACGGTCACACCGATGCAGTCCTGGCAACTTATGACAACGATATCGATAACGGCAACGACAATGACAATGTTGAACCACACTATCGATAAACGCGAACGGGACGTGTTGAGTAGAGTGGCCAGACTACGGGAAACGAACTAGTGATTTCACAACGGGGAACTGTCTGGGCGGGAAATTCAAATTCCACCCAGGGAACTCTCTAGGGAACGAGATGCAGTTTTAGGTAAGTAAAAGTCTTTCGGGGAACTGTCTGGGTAACTGAGAAAGGGCTAACGCAGCGCAGCCGTGAGAAAGTTAAAGGACTTTCAGGGCGCTTGCTAAGGGAAGTCTTACGGAGAACAGTCTGGGAAAGTTTTGGGGAACTGTCTGGGGATCACAAGGAGAACGAGTTTGGCGGGGAATTTGACAGAACGAAGAAAGGGGGAAATGTGAGGAATTTTGATTTTATAAAAATGTTCTTGATAATAAAATATTTTTCTGTTGGTGTTTTAGTTAGTGAACAAAATTTGTATGTTACGCCGCCCAGAGTAGAAGGTTCATCATTTTAGTTGATTTTCCGAATGAGTTCGATGGTTTTAGGTTTATAGGTGTGCATGGTGATTTCACCGTATTGTTCCCATGGGAGCTATGGGATATAGATGTCCGATCGGCACGCGCATTTACCCTGAAAAAATACGATACGTCAATAGCTTTTACACTGTGCGAAATATCTTCAGTTCCTGCAAATTATATATGATTTTTTCTATAGGAGTAATGAATGCTAGTACCATTTTTTATTACATTCTCAATTGAGAAATGCTAAAATAAAATATCGTCAGATTTTTCAAAAGTAATGCCAACATTTAAATATTTTATATCACAAGTTTTGGGAAATCTAATGAAATATCCTTTTAGTAGGCTTAGCGTATGCTAACCCATTGATTGAAGAAAAAGCATTTTGTAATTATTAGTTCCATTTCCTTTTATAGGGATTTTAGTTGAACAATTTGATGCAATGGTAGAGTTGCTTGTGTTTACAATAAGGACGTGTCCTGGTTCTATTTCTGTTATTATCTCTTGGTTTCCTATCACCTTGACTTTACAATTGGCAGTATTTAGCGTGAATATGCCATTGAGGCACTCGGTTTCAGGATTGTTTTACTTGCGAGTATGTTTAAAAACATTGAAGCTATAATGATTTGCAGCTTAATTATTCGATAGTTCCTATGGCAGCTATACGATTGTTCCTATGGGAGCTATATGCTATAGTCGTCCGATTTTGATGAAATTTAAACCGTAATTCTGAAATATTTAACCATTACTATATCTCGAAGAACTAAAAAAAAAAATTAAAAAACACCAAAGAATACAGTGTAGGCAGGCACGAATTGCGAACTGAATTTTTCTTTGTATAAAAATATATTTGTTGCAATATGCAGAATTGTGCTACAGCCACTTTATTGAAATTTAATTTATTTTTCGTTGCGAATAAGAACAAGAACAACAAGAAAGAAAGCAAACTTCGGCAAGCCGAAGTTCATATACCCTTGCAGCTATTGCAAGAATTTAACATTTTTGAAAACATTAAAATAATGATTTACTTCGTATATGTTTAAAAACATTGAAGCTATGATAATTAGCAGCTCAATTATTTGATAGTTATTTTATATATTTTCTATTATTTCTATGGGAGCTATATGATATAGACGTCCGATTTTGATAAAATCTAAACCATAATTCTGAAATATGTAACCATTGCTTTTTGTCGAAGAACTGAACAAAAAATAAAAAAACAGAAAAGTTATAATTTTTTTCATTTATTTTTCCGATTGTTCCTATGGGAGCTTTATGCTATAGTGGTCCGATTTTGATATAATTTAAACCGTAAATCGAAAATATTTAACCATTACTAAGTGTCGAAGGACTAAACAAAAAATTAAAAAACAGAAAAGTTATAATTTTTTTCATTTATTTTTCCGATTGTTCCTATGGGAGCTATATGCTATAGTCGTCCGATCCGGCTCGTTCCGACTTATATACTACCTGCAATAGAAAGACAACTTTTGGGAAAGTTTCATGCAGATAGCTTTAAAACTGAGAGACTAGTTTGCATATAAACGGACGGACAGACGGACGGACAGACGGACATGGCTAGATCGACTCTACTAGTGATGATGATCAAGAATATATATACTTTATAGGGTCGGAAACGTCTCCTTCACTGCGTTGCAAACTTCTGACTGAAATTATAATACCCTCTGCAAGGGTATAACAAGAAGCCCACTTACATGTTTATTTTATTGGCTGCTTCTTCGGTGACGTTTCTGTTCTTCGTGCGGGCCGCGGGGCCGGTCGGTGGCAACGGCTTCCGTTGACGGTTGTCGTACCCTCGAGCGGGGCGAGGGGTTTGGTTGATGAAGGCGGCTACTGCTGGCGGTTGTCGTACCCTCGAGCGGGGCGAGGGGTTTGGCTGGCGGCAGTGGCTTCGTTGACTTCTGTCGTACCCTCGAGCGGGGCGAGGGGTTTGGTTGGCAGCGGCGCCTAGTCGGTTGTTTTTAAACAAA